GGAAATATGTTGAAAGAATACGATTTCTACCAACTTTACTTTCTTGAGAGGCTCATTACTTTTTTTATTTGTTGTACTCAACTTCCCATTTATCTCCAAATCAATTATTGTCAAACTTTCCCCAAGTCTCAGCAGTTTAATTCGGGACAAAGTCGTCACTAATCAAAATGCAGAGAAAATCAGAACAATAATGACCCACGCTGTTAAAAAAAAACCAATCAATTCCAACCTAAACATCTCTTATTCTACTAGAAGTCTACGTTGGTGACGTGGGACACGCTACAAAACGCTTTTAGCTCTGGGTGGGAATAAACCGCAGGTCCTGGGATTTATCGCTAACCACAAGGATGGAGTCAACAAATCAAAAGAAGATTGAAGGGGGGTTTTTACAACACAAAAAGTAAAGCAAGGCGAGTCTGACATTTGGACACATTTTCCAGTTGTTACTGACAAAGATGGAAAAGAATTGGACTTCATTGTGACAAATTTGCAAAGTATTGGGCCGCCCGCTGAACCGGTCGAGCCTTTGGGGCGCCGCGATACTTTTGCACATTTGTCACAATGAAGTCCAATTCTTTTTCAACTTTTGTCATTACCAGGACCGAGAGTCGCTACCTGGGTTTGATTCCAACCCGGCGCCATTTGCTGCTCGCTCCCTGCAGCCTTTCCTCAGCTGTCTATACAATAAAGGCATTAAAAGTAAAGCAGGACAATCATGTGCAAAGCGTCGGCCGTGCAACAGGCTTACATCGGACACCTTTGGATTGACAATTGGATTAAAAGATTTCAAAGATAACACACTTCTTCCTGCGTATATTAACAAGACGTAATTGAGAAATGTATAAAACGTGTGGTGCTTCTTGCTGAGGGGATTTTTTTTTTTTTACAGCCCTAGAATAATTAATTCTCACGAAGGTAGCTGTAACGTTGCTGTTGTGTTGCCGACAGCGATGCGTCTCTTTTGGAACGGTTGCGGGTTCAGGCGGGAACAGACACACGCGCTGCAGGAGTGGGCGGTAATGGTCAGAAATCCAGTTAGAGCGGGATTAAGAATAAAGTCCCACGCAGGCCTCTGCATTCCACCTCTAAAAGAACTGCTTGAATAAGTGAGCACAGATAAGGTTGAGGTCATCTTAAAAATAAAAAAAAAGATCCACACACTAAAAGGTTTCTCAAAGTAGTTCTTTTTTTCCAACAAAGGTAGAGGTCAAAACACACACACACACACACACACACACACAAGCAGAGTTTCTACTTGCATCCTCAGGACTGCGAGCAATGAGCTTCACATTACCAAAATAAATTAAAAAAAAGTCTGAGATATGAGCTCAGAATTTGAATTAGTTTCTCTGACTGCTGCATGGCAAGTGGCTTCAATCAAATCAGTTAATTTAACACACACACACACACACACACACACACGGTGAGAAAAGTCATCAGCTGACTGTGCGCACACGTAAACAGCGATGCTCAGCCTGACTCACACACAGATATTTTTTTTGGGAGATATCAGAATGATAAATCTCCAATTGCACCATGATGAATTCCTTCAGAATGCTGCTGTACATAGTGTACCCTGACCATGAAATATGGACCTCCGGGATGGGAATCCTCCTGCGTCCATCTCTCGCCGAACAGTTTATTGCTAAACGTGACTCTGCTGCCAAACACCTAAAACACGCATGACGCACATAAACCACCGAGCTCGTACATGTCGAAGTTTTTATGTTCATTACCTGCGCTTTAATATACATCATGTCTCAGTCCATCATGGGTAACGTATAGCTGATTGCTACAATAAAAAAGCTATTAAACAGCCGCTTGGTACGGGGTCGCCTCTCGCGTTTACTCCACAAACACCTCTTGCTATGACTCTTATTTCTCTTAAACACGGTTTTGTTAGCAGACTCTTCCTTTCAAGAGTTGATATTTGAGGAAAAGAGAGACAAATCAACAGTGGGTCCCATGCCGGCCTTGTTAAAACTGAACAAACAAGAGGGTTTTTGATATCCTGCATATGAAAAGATGGCAGCCTCATATCTTATCAGGCTGTAGTGTCCCTCTGGATAATGCACTTGATGAAAACTGAGCCACGGAATAAGATTCAGAATATTAAGGGACTCAACTGGTCATGAACTGAATTCATAATCAACAATACAATATATATGAGTCTAAGAAGGCTTATAATATTTTATAAATATTGGAACACCCATATGACCTCGTCAGTAGAGGCCATTTTCTTTAATACTCGTCCACATAAAGTGAACAGAACAGGGCTTTAAAAAGAGCGCCTGATTTCACCAAATCAATACATTTCATTCAAGGCTAGAAACTCGGTATAAATTATCAATCGCTGCATCTGTTGCCGAGTTCCTCCGTTGCCAAAAGACTTGACTCTTTCCCTCCATGGATTAAGGCACTTTTGTCTATTTACAATTTCATCAGTTGCTATGTTTGTATGCATCTCACAGCTTAAAAATCTTGTGATTTTTTTGCCAGAGCCAAAACAGGAGCCAAAGGGATTTAATACACTGAGCAGTCATTCAAAAAACAGCCCGAAACAGTGTTGGGCTTTGGACCGCGTTCACAGTGGCCATCTGCAAGCTGCTGCGCACCAAGAACTGAGGCTCACTCGTCTAGAGGCATGATGGCAAAGCTGTGTGATGCTGGCCCCAGAATAAACAAGCCATTTGACTGGACAACCATCATAAAAGCAACTATTGATGTTGCCTAGTCTTTTTTTTTCTTCTTCTTTCGGCGGCATTGTGCGTTGTTTCGTAGCCCGAGCCTTGCTGGGTTGACTGTTGGCTCGCTTTCACATTGATTTCTGAAGTGGTAATTGTCTCCGCTGTTTGGCTTAAACTGTTTGTCATTTAACTTTTTACGTGTCTTTATCGATATCCCGTTAGAGCCGATGGACGTTATCGACGCCGGCATTCTTCTCCGCGTCGGGATCAATGGCGGTCACCCGACTCGGTCTAATCTGAGGCCGCCATTCCAGTCGCTCGGGGGTCACATACCTCGGCCATGTGTCGGCATTCCCAGTCTGCTTTAAGCAAGTATGCGAGTGTGGGACCGACGCACCAGGTGACCTCACACACACATGCACAAGTCGCAGCACATACGATCCCACACACCCGCCGGCATAGCAACACATGTTCGCCATCCCCAACGTATATCCATGTACACACACATGTGGCCGCATATCGGACCCAATAAATCACTTTTAAATCCTGTTGGACAACTGGTCAGCATACTAAATTTGGCCGACACACACCCTCTCTCTTTTTCAAAGACGCACACACACTCTCACATATACACACCCCTCCAATAAACCCTCTGTGCCTCATTTCCCTCCCCTGCCCCTCAGGCCCCTGCCACCCCATGTGGAGCAGGTGGGCGACAGGCAGTCCAAAGTCTCTGGCACCCCACCACACATGCATGCATGCACACACACACACACACACTCACACACACACACACACACACACACACACACACACACACACACATGCTCTCTCTCTCTTTCGCTTCGTTTCCTTTCTCACTCTCCGTGCACCTCCTCTTAATGACCAGCGATATTTTAAAAAGCTCTGCCACTTAAAGCAGCAGCCTCCCGTCCGCCACTTAATTTGACATGCTTGGGAGGAAAACAAAGAAAGACCCCTATTGTGGCTTTGAACAGCATCCAATCAAGCCTGCCACTCAATTAGCCATGGACGGCACCGAACACGCACATAAGGATCCGTTTTATTAAGACCTTTTCAATGCCGCTTTAACAGTACAGGCCACCGCGCAATCAAACCTCCATTGAAGGTAAACGTGGCCGTTGGTGTTTCCGACACGGACCTGACTGTTTTCCAGATCGCTCACTTTGCCGCGAGGTTGAAGCACCCTGAACATTTCTAAAACACCGGCGACTAGAGAGAGAGACGGCGACGAAAATCAATATCGATCTTCTTCCGTGGCTCCAGATGATGTAATCGAGCTTTATTATCTCAGAAAAATGAGTCACACAAAAATAAAAAATGTGAAAAACACATTGACGGAATGCAATAAAGGCAGGTGACAGACATGGGAGGGGAGAAAGCCAGACGAAGCAACAAAGAGTTTTAAAAAATTGATTTGAGGGCTACAAGGCTGCCAGCAAATAGGGAGGGAAAAAACATCTGTACTTATCCTGTATTAGTGTTTATTGACAACAGCGAATGTGCATTAAGACCGTCTGGATGGTGCATTTAGATCATAAATGTCTTGTGAAAAAAGCCAAGTGGAAACTCTTCTCTTTGAGGTTAGTTTTGAACTGATCTGTAGTTTTCATCTCTGCGACTGCATGTGCGTGCATGTGAGAGTTTGCATGTCTGCTTGGATGTTTAAAAAAAAAAAACAGGGCACACGTCTTCAGGGACATCGCACAAGGTAAAAGGGGTTTTGGCAGATGGTGAGCTCAAAATAGAAAACAACAAGGAGGTAATGAAAGAAAAAGTCCAGGCTGCAAAGTGATTTAAAGTCTCAGCATTTTGCTCTGAATTAGTCCCTCATGGTTCCCGAAAACCCTTAAAAGAACACAGCACAGCAGGACTCCCAAGTTCGGTTTGATGGCCCGACTGCTGTGGATTTCACAGCCCCTCGGTTATTATGGAGTTAAAACTGGATCACGCGTTCAGAAAGCAACTGCAATATGAGAGGAGATGATGAAGGACTTAATAATCCTGGTGGCTTGCTCAGTTTGATTAATCCTAATCTATAATGGGCTGCACTTCTAGTCCACATAGAAAAGTAGTAAAACTTACATTTATGTCAGTCTGTCCCTCTGTTTGAAATATTAAATTCAATTTAGCTTTTTTATGCAGCGCCGACTTGTCGTCTCAACTAACTTGCCATCTTTACATCGTGAGGTGAAGACCTCACCAGAAGAACCTCAGAAAGATTCTCTTGGATTAGCAAGCGTTCAGCAACACGAGGGGAAAAAGAAGGACTAGGTAGATGTTATCGCCTACCTGGCAGCGATGTATAACGTCCTGTTCATGATCATGATGAGCTGGATGTCCAGTTTGTGCCGCTGCGTGTTGTTCCTTCCAGGTTTGTGGCCTACAAACGCCGGATACTGCTTTGTGTCTGTAAAGAAGAGGACAAAAAAATGAATCCCTGCACGTGACAACCTTACATTTATTACCGCAGTAATGGCTTGAGGAGATGATGAATTTCACAGCTTTTGTCAAGCGTCTCACGGGCTTTAAGTCAAATGTCAACTCATGCTTCTTAGCTGTGCGAGGGAAACGCCACCGCAATTGGTGGTTGAGCTCCTCCTGCAACCATAAATTGTCGGCTAAAAATACGCGGCACCGTACCGTGCAATCGTTCTATTGTTAGTGGCTTTGGATGAAAGCGCCTGGTTTGAATAAACAGTCTGATAGTAGGAGCGTAGGTCTCCGTGAGGCTGGCTGGGGTTGTGTTTCAGCTCTCCTGGCCAGGAGATACAGTATTACACCCGCAGAGAGCAGAACAGGACGGCAGAGAGGGAGGAACACAGACAGAAACAGAGGAAACAATGACCATATCTTTATAGCCTGCCACAGCGTTTACACTATCACACACAGCATTAGGAGCCCAACAGAAAAATAGCGGATTATCCTTTGATGTGGGGTGGGCTCCATTTCAAATGCTGCCTTAAGTCCTTGATTTTAGTGTGTGTAGAGGGCCTATCCTCGGGCGCCAAATTACACTCCGTGCCTTCAGAATGCGTTGGGTGTTGGGGGCTGGTGGGGGTTGCCGAGGAAGCAAAGGGTTGAGAGGGATGTGGAGGAGCAAAGGGATAGAACAAGTGAGACAGATACCAAGAGGGGGATTTGCGAAGTGGAAAACAAAGAGGAAAGGGAAAAGAGTGCAGGCGGAGAGCGAGGCAGGACTTGTAATGAGAGGAAGGACGGTGCTCAAGAAGAGAAAGCAAAGAATGGAAGAGTAAAGGATATACTTACAGTTGCCGTGTGAGATGCTAATAGGCTCGCTGTCTTCGGGGAAGCCCGCCCCGGCTATTTGCAGTAGCGTGAAGTAGAGTAACAAGGCCTCTGACCTCATGGTCGCACCAACACTGCTGCTGCTGCTGCTGGTCCTCTGCTACAGATTTGTCTCAGCCTGGATGAAGAGAGACAGAAGAGGGAGACGAGGAGGAGGAGGAGAAGGAGGAGATGGAGGGGGATGAAGGGAAAATGACAGAAAAAAAAACAAAGTTTGTCAAACAGTGTTTTCATCAGACTACCTCATCAATCATCACTATCCCACCGTGGCTCCTGGTTTAAAACAAAGAAATGCAGAAGCAGGTGGGAAGCGAGGAGAGGCAGAAAAAAAGAGAGAAGTAAACCAAACAAATTCGAGTCCACCTGAATTAGCTGTTTGTGCATTTTGCACGGCCCATTGCAGTCTGTCAGAGATATATTTATATATGCAATTTCGATGACTCAAGTAAGCCGCATTGCAAGCGAAACAGAATTAATTGGATTAGGGTGGTAATATGCGTCATAGATCGATGGCAGGCAGAGAAGATCTCTGTGTTTCTCTCATCCTGTCTCCCTCTCTCTCTCTCTTTGTGTGACAGGGTCTTAGTGAAGTGGCAGAGCTCTTGTTGAGATTACCCCGCTGTAGAGTATCAACAGTACTCTGAGATGGGCAGGGACGGCGTGGCAGCTACCTAATTTCCCACTTGCCAGTCTCTTGCCAGAGCAGCAATCCCAAACTGCAACAGGTCGATGACTCCCACTAAATCTGTGCATCAGCACGGCTAATAAACACTCCGTTTTACCGCAGAAAGGGTTTGAGAGCCACCTGAAGGCTTGCACTTTCCTTTCTCTCCTCTCCGTGACATTTCTCATTGCACTCGGTGTCTGCTTTAAATACCAAATGTTGACTCACTTTTCTCACTCAGTAAGCATGACAACTGCACGAACGGACCACGTGTTCGCTTCCTTGATTATTTATCTTCAAACCCTGGAAAACGGGCGACGCACCCGGCCAGCTAATTCCCTAATGTAACTTATACGCGGCCACTAAAGTGGATTTTACAGCAGATGCCCCACATTGTGTTGATGCAACGTCTTCATAATACAAACCATGGCAACCGAGCTTTTCCTACTGCAGTTTGTGGCAACCAATTACACCCATAAATCATCCCAGACAATTATTGCGTCTGTAATCTAATCAAGAATAAAGCATTTAATTTGCATAAAGCACCTTCTTCTTCTCCTCAGCTGAAGCTGCAGGGGTGTGATGTTGCTGGGTAGATAGAGCGAGAGGGGGGGATCCTTCAGGGATGAAGAATTGAATAAAATAGTCCATTTCATTTGGTCCAGTCTGATAAAAGTTGTTTATCCCACGCTGTATTTTCATTCGCTATTGTATGTCCAAGGGGAGAAGGAAGAAGGAGGGAAAAAAAGAGAAGTGGCGGCGGTGGGGGGGTCACTTTCTCTTTTCTTTGTCATGTCTCTCCCTCCCTCTCTCTCTCTCTCTCCATGCTCCTGTGAATCTCATTCAGGAGAGGAATGAAAACACTATTCACTGGTAGAATCATTTTAACACTGAGGAGAATACCAATACTAAAGCCTGGATACGACCTTGATCTCACAAGCTGCTCCGTTCTCCTCCCCTCCTTTCGCCTACTCCTCTTATCCTTACACTGCTTTTTGTACCACATTCTATATTTTATGAAGGGAAAAATACAAAAATGGATTTTCCCTGACCCTCCCCTTCCTCATACAGCGAAGGCTGGCCGAGCCGCGCTCGTGCTCCACATTCCAACTTTGTCTAAATTGTAAGTAAAGATTGGATTTTTTTTTTCTTCTCCTGTAGAGTACAGTTAACCTCTCAGAGGGCTAAAACATGTTCCTCTGCTGAACCTTGACCCGGAAGTCCTCCAGTAATTGACTGATTGATGAGCAGGAAGTGGCATAAGACGGAGAGGTTAGCCCTGAGGGAGCTGGCACAGCGAATGATGAATGGAGGCTGCGCTGACCGGGAAAACAAGATGCAATGCTGCTCTGCACTGTCTGATAAAAGGGAACCATTCTGTAATTGTATTTTTAGATAGGACCTGATTATGTCAGAATCAAACATAAAAACTATAGCAGCTGCCTCCTCCATATGAATACAGATACTGTATCGTTGGTTGAAATTAACCCGAGGAGATTAATCACGTTTTTTTCCCTTTAATCTGTGGCTGCCCAAGTGGAGGCACATCCTCCATCTATATCAGTAGGTTGTAATAGGATGCTAAAAACTGTTAGCTAAACCATCTCACACTGCCTCCTGTGATACACCAAATTAAATTGAGCACAAAATGACTTAAGTGAAACCCGTAAGCCTTCCAGTGGCCCTTTCATTACCAGCTGCCACACATGAGTAACAGGAGGGAGCGAGACACAGTCTGTCTTTACCGAATTACACTCTTTCTGTGGAAGAGCAAATTGCTTCCTTGTGTGCGAGTGTGACTGTGTGTGTGTGTGTGTGTGTGGCGTGTGTGTTAAAGCCTGATCTAAAATGCTACTTTTGTGCAGCGCTGTACTGTAGACATCTGTTTAAACACGCGCATGAGCCGAGAATATCGAGATTCGGGAGCTCAAACTTCAGCTAATAAATTACCTGCATTACACTTGCGCAGGTGGAAGTGTGTGTGTGTGTGTGTGTGCGGATTTCCTCTCTTGTAAAAGCTTCCCTTGAAAAACAACCAAAGAAAAGAGAAGACATAAAGAGTAACAGTGGATCCTTGTGCCTCCTCCTCGGGCTTTTAATAGATAATAACATTTTAAGAACCTTAACTGCTATTCCCTCACACCTCCTGCACACTGGCGGTGATAAAGTAGCTGCTTGCATGTGCGCGCATAAGTGTATTTGTGTGTGTTTGTGAAGCAGAGAGGCGAGAGAGGGGAGAGTTAATCAAGCTGGATGCTGGCGGGAGGCCACCAGCAGGTAATAAAAACACAAGGACCCCCCCAGAATCCCTCTACATACCATCTTATGAATAACTATACAACTTGTGATGCTAGAAGCAGAGACAAAAAAAAAAAAAATCCATAAATTAAAACTATATTAGCAACAGGCAAATCCCCAACACAACTCAACGCAGACGAACACACAGTCGCCCATGGGGGTTAACGTAAGCTGCATTAGCTTTAACAATAAACACATTAGCAGACCTAATGATGTTGTGCTGCTGTTGCATCAACATGTTAGCTATGGGTGCTTGGAGCTTAAACACGCTCACAGTAACGGGCATTAATTATACAGACAAGGTCGGCCACAGTGGGCTTCAGGTGAGGAAGAGGAAGGAAGTGCTTCCCTAACATTTAGCTGCACATTTAGTTTGGCAGTCTAGTTAACCTTCTGAGCCTCAAGCAGTCTTTGTCGGTCACATTTTTTCACCACTTCATGAAGTCCTGCAGATCTATGGAAAAAGGCACGAAGATATAAGGCCTTAAATTATAAAAATAATAACAAAATCTAAAAAATTGAATGCCTATGGAGACTGATTTTCAAGTGGCATTAAGGAAAAATGGTGGTTCTGCATGCTATAGATATTTAACTACTTACATTTTGGATTTTTTTTTCCATACTTCCTCTGCTTTGCATAAACAACCTTCAGTTAAGCTGAATTTTGTCACGAGTTTGTTGAAGAGAGGAAGAACGGTTTCGCGGTTGCACTGAAATACACAGAATTCTTTTAATCTGGTTAATGCAAGTGCTTTTTTTTGTTGATAATTTGCAAATGCAAGATGTAGTTCAAGGACCAACAGAAAGTTGACAATTCTTTCAATTTTTTAGAGTTTCTAACAATTTATAACAAGCCTTTCAAATCCGTTTTGGGGAGTTAAATGACAAAAAATAAACCCAAAAACCTCAAGTTCAGACGCACTCGACGATGATTGGTTGGGCAGACACACAAGCACACACAAGCACACAAACTACTACACAACCATTTAATCCTGAGTTGGTCCCAGCTGTTCATCTCCTGAAACACCCTCTCTTTAAGTGCAACGGAGTGAGAGGCTACCATTTGATTACATCTCAGCAGACCTGCTGATGATAGACCGACGCTTCTGAATCGTGTTTAGAGACCAGCTTCCCGAGAAAAACAACAGGTTTTCTGGCTAAAAACAACACGGCTACGAGCAGGAGGACGAAGCTCTCTGGTGGTGTCCGTCTGAAGAAAAAGGAGAGTTGTTTCTGATTCACAAAGTCAGACGGGGAAGATGTCTGGGTGGATGGATAGGTCGACAAAAACTCTGACAGTAACATGGGAAGCAGCTTGTTTCCTACCACTGCCATGATTGTACACCAGCCTCCATCAAGACGCTGATATTAATGTAACCATGACAACAAAGGTCCTCTTACTTCAATGATCTTTCCCTGTTCATGTGCTTAAACCGAGCACAACTTTAACCATCGGATAGCGGTTCTATTATATAATTATGATTTATAACTGTCTTTCAAGGCACCGACAGCTGATGCAGTCCCGCGGATGCTGGCACGAGATCAGAAAACCCTCGTATGTGTCATTTTCAAGGGCGGCTACAAGCCACTCGGAGGACGTCTCCCGTGTTTACGTTTGTTTGTGTGTCCTCCACTGCTTCATGGCCATCGAGCACGCACTTAAGACCTTGCTGCATTTTCTGAATGGCTGCTATGTATAAGTGGCTTTACGTCGCGCAGCTGCACAGAACGGTCGTCCCGCGTGTTAAGGGAAGGTTAAGTTATGTGCCACGCTCCGCTGCATCCAACACAATACATTTGGTGGTTATAATATATTCCAAATATAGTCATCATGGAGAATAGCAGAGACTTTTTGATCATCGTCAGGAAGGAGGAAGCGTTCCATATGAAGGCTTTAAAGCAGCAGCTTCTTGTAAATGCTGTCCGACAGCTTTGATACCAGCGCAGTCTGCTTGTGTTTATATTTGGCAGTCTGGGTAACGTCCACAGATTGGTGCTGAAGGTTTTACAGATGACAGGAATGGCAAAGAGAAGGGGTAGCGGACTGGCAACGTGCTGCTACGCGTCTGCACTTATGGCCACATTTGGAGGAGGTGCTGCTGTTTGTATCTTTAAATGGGATTTTGTAATAGATGACGCGGGCGGTGCTGGTGTTA